GCCAGTTTGTTGCGAGACTTATAGACCAACATAATATTATTTTAAAAGAGCATTTGCCGTTGATCAATCCCTTTTTGAGATACAGCACGCATTCTACTTTCATTTGTGCATTCGTAGTGGCGTTTGAATGAAATTTGGCCTACACAATGACTTGCTGGAGCCAGCCGATGTAAAGGTCAGTGTTTTTATCCTCCCAAACAAGTCCGGTACCAATTAACCGATTCCGGAGGGATGGAAGGCTTGGTTCCCCCGGACGACGCACGACGGATTCGATCCCCGAACTGCTCACGTGGTGAGCGTGCCACTTGCCACTCACCACTGCCGCCCATCGTTAAAAACAAACAATTGCACAAGGCTTTTCCTTCGCTAGTCCTTTGGCAGGAGGGGATACGGCTCCAGCTGCGTGCGGCAGAGCTGGAGCCGCTCTCCTTCCCCAGGCTCTACAGTATCCTGACTTCTGCTGGAAAGGAAGTTCCGGGGTGCATCCGAAGCGAAACCAAAATGGTTCACCAAAATGTTGCACCGTACTTTGGGCGATACGGAGTATGTATTTCACTGAGTGTCCCCCCCCCCCAGGTGACATACCCCATGTCTTCTATGCAATCAGTGCGTAATGTCATCATGTTGGGATACATTTTTAGCTTTTGATTGTCAACTGCTTTTTCTGGAGCAATCCGCCATGCGGAATTTGTCAAGAATGCTGAGTCATTTTTTGCTGTTTTTCTCCACCGCACGTCTCAGGACTTCTGTCAACCGTGAGGCTTGGCGGTTCAGCGTTTTGTAGTGATGTCTGGGAGCTCTCACAAGTGCACACTATCACAGCATCTCCTCTTTCTTTATCTCCTTCAAAAGGCTTAGTCCCAATAAGACACAAAGTGTGTGCTTTTCCAGCTACGCTCTCACCCTTTGGTTGACAGAAGCCTTGTAACCCCAGCTCACAGGTGATAGGTGACCAGCTCACAGGTGATAGGTGAGCATACGGCCCCGTTGAATGTGAGAGGAGAAGGTCAAGTTGGGAGAAAGGGCGCCCCATGAAGAGAACGGTGACGCACAACGCTCGCCTGCGACGGACAAAGTTTAAGGAATGTGTGGAAGAAGTTTTCAAACTTTCAATGCTTCGTGTTGTTGCTTCATGTCCTATTCGGCTTGACGATTGCTTTAAAGCTAATTCGTTTCCAATTATGACCTCTTAGAAGGGGTTTCATAAGGATTATTGTTTTTTCCTCTTGTTTAGCGTTTCCTACATTTGACCAGTGTGTTATACAATTAGTACAGCATGTTTTCCGGCACTTGTGTCGTTTTTCCGCTTGTATTTATGATGCTTGTTCCTTGATTCCACTTATGATGGAAACTCAACACAACCCGTTTTATCATGAAGGAGAAAGATATCACGAATGATTCCGTGCGAATAACTATTGGAAGGTCCTTAAGTGCTCCTACTAATACTGCTGGTAATTATCGGAGTTTGGAAGAGATACGAGCTGCGTTCAACTGTCCTACACTTCCGAAAGGCGTTTTCATACTCATCGTTCAGGAGATTAGGAGATTGAGCGAAAGTGAAATGTATGTATTGATTGAAGATAGTAGCAGGTCTGGGCCGTAAGGTATGCTTCCCCGAAGGGTTGGGGGACGAAAGCCCTTTAAATTTTCTCTGTCTTCCCAACTGGGATTGTCCTGATAAAGGGCCTACATTTAATATATGTGTGTAGGTTAAAGTAAACATGCATTGAAAATGAAGAAACAGTATCGTTCAAAACAAAAAAATTTAAAGGGACTTTCGTCCCCCCAACCATTCGGGGAAGCATACCTTACGGCCCTGGAGGTAGGGGTTAAAGCGATGTTGCAGTTATTTTAATCACCCGAATAACAGATTAGTAGGGGATCGGAAGTGTGACCCAATTTCTGCGAAAACTTTTAAGTTTTGGCCACTTAAGGCCGATGTCAGACTTTGCGAATCGCGCGATTCGCTAGCGTCCGCGGTCGCGTTGCGGTACCAGCCAATTGAGTGATTCACTGGCCGCGACGCGACCGCAGACGCTAGCGAATCGCGCGATTCGCAAAGTCTGACATCGGCCTAAAAGATAGGGTGTGGTTCACTAGGACAGAAAGCGACTTCTTCGTGAAACAATGTTCACTGCGGGAATATCGGGTCCACTGATGATTCGTTGCGGGAACTTCAGCCCTGAATCTGAGGTCCCCGCAGCGGGAAATGTTTCGCGCTGCGAAACGCGAAGAAGTCGCTTCCTGTCTAGTGAACCACACCCCTTAAGATATTACAAAATACGTGTGTAATTAGACGCTATCGGGTCACCGGAGACACCAAATCCAGCATCATAAATGCAATTCTATTTCATTATTTTTATAGATATCTTGAACTCACCCAGTCTTTACATATTAGGGTATGGAAAGCAAAACATGCACTACTGCAAAGCAACATCAGAACTGCGTGCAGTCTTCACAGGCTTATTTTGGTTGCTTTACAATAATCCCAAAGAAGCACTTGTTTAATGTCATGGTACAGTACTTGATACTTCAGTTGTTTTGTTAATATCCCA